TACGTGATCATTAGGTTCTCCACCTGGTGTTGAGCCTTTCACAATTCTACAGGTTCTGCAGAATGCCTTGGGGATTAAACCGATACCATGAGAAGTTACTAAGCATATCATGATTGACTTTCATATGATACTTCCCTAAATTGGTAACGAGGGTTGGGGGGATATGTGGAGGTGGGAGTTGACAAGGGGATCAGCATGGGGACTTACCGTTCACTTTACTACAATACAAACAAAGTGGAACCTAAAACGAACGGCTGCTTCAGAGCCCGCCAGTAGGCCTTCAGAGCGAGCGTGCCGGCCGGCGGCGGCGCTAGCCACTTGTTGACAACACTGGCACCTGATCCATCGACGTACAGTGTTGTCAACAAAAGACCAGCGCCCGCCGCTGGCCGACACGCGCGCTCGGAAGGCTTACCGGCGGACACTGAAGCAGCCAATGAAATCTGTGTAGTGATTCACGTAGTAAAAAGTAAAATTAAATGAGAACGGCATCAATCACTGTGGTGGAAATGAATGTCAGGAATAGTAAAATGTGTAAGGCGTATATTGTAGTTCAAACAACAAAGGATACCTACGGTGCCAGAAAATCTTCATCGTCACCTATTCCAAAGCGATGTTCCCTCGACATCCAGTGATGTGCAAATTCCTATCCTACTGCCTCAACTAAGATCCCCTTCCCTACAAGAACACTTTAGGTTTGTTTTGCCGAATGCACTTAGTATTTATATTTTTTGTGGAATGCCATTTTTATTAATCAGATATTCATCAGATGGCTTAGTGTTATCGCCCATTTCCTCTTACTGTTAAGGCTAGATTAAGCCGGGTTGTTCTGGGGTATATCTCTCCATGGTGGGATTGATTCATTGAATTACTTCCGCTCATCTTTTCTTTTTACAGGATCATCGCTGAAGAACTTACGCATGTATACAGGGAACACTTGGAACTAGCATCTTCATTTCCAACTACTTTTCCCAAGCCTTCTCAATGGAAATGTGATGTGGGATGGACGAGATACGACCACGGAGGAGTTGTTGAACAAGTGAGCATTCAGTTACCTAGAGAAAGTAGGCTAGACGTGCATGCTTGAGTTTAGGTGGACTGGCCATTGGAGGATGTTTTCTTCTTCGATGTCGAGACCTGTGTTTTGGACGGTCAACTGCCAACACTAGCTGTTGCACTATCTGCAAAAGCTTGGTAAATTGTCCATTGTATATTTACATCTAATTTCTCATTTTGTAATTCTTACATTTGTTAGTTATTCATTTGACTTCTAATTTCTACAACTCAGGTACTGTTGGTGCAGTGAGCGCCTTGTACATCTCACTCCTGTTCCGCTGCTACCTCGGCTCAGGCATTTGATTCCTCTGGGAGGTTGTTCATTTTGAGTTGTTGTTATTGGCTTGTGGAGGGAACAAGCGAGACAACCAGCATAAATCTCTTGAAATTAAGGTGCTGAAAAGCCTCGTGTTGCTATTGGTCACAATGTTGGATACGATCGAGCACGAGCCAGAGAGCCTTATGAGAGAAAGGTCAGGTTTTTCTTACACTGCTTCGAAATGGTAGCTGTCATTTGGTCGCAGATGCCTAAGGGGATTCAATGCGTATGTAACGAGATGAGCCTAGCCCAGAAGTCTCTAGATTTCAGTTTTTCCCGAGCTTTACATGCAATTACTACAACCAAAACGAATCAGAGCGTTCACTATAAAATCAGAAAAGTGAAGTAACTCAAATGTGGCTCGGGGGATTCAATAATTCACAGCGATTTTGAACAAAAATTAAACCCAACTTTTTTCAGAAATCGGCACTTCGATTCATGGATACCATGTCAATGGCAATACCGATGTTTGGGATGGCAGATCATCAAGTCGTTACATATGAAACGGACGATTCAGATTACATCTTAAGGGTTTGTTTTTAGTTTAATTATGAAAAAGACGCACGTATGTTTTGGTCTAGCGTGAATCTCCTATACCTCCAAGGTCTAGGGGTTGGTAGTCATGGCTGATGAGAATTGCTAATTGTTGAAACAGTTTCTCCAAAACATCTGCGTCTAGTTATATAGTTGCATGACGAAACAAAGAAGCTACCAGTAGTGAGCGCTTCACAGTGTACCAAACGTAAAGCAAGAAGTTAAGTACTGGTCAATACTATTTGGT